CCAACCTTTCGACGGTTTGAGAAAAATGTTGAAAAGTGGTCGATATATATTCAGCAGATGCATCAACATTTTGTGGCACATCAAGTGAAAGACGATGTATTAAAACGCGCATGTTTCCTTTCGTGGATAGGTACAGAGACCTTTGAACTTATTCAAAAGTTATGTGACAATAATATAGAGAATAAGTCTTTTGGTGAACTACTAGCAAAATTGGATAATCATTTTGCGGAAAAACAGCATATATTAGCAGCACGTTTTAAATTTCATTTAATACGAATGAAAGCAAATCAATCATATGCTGAGTGGGTGGCAGAACTGCGTGGTGCGGCTAAAGAGTGCATGTTCCTATGTACTAGTGAAACTTGCCAGCAATCGTTTATAGATAATTGTATACGAGATAATGGTTGTGATACACACACCACACGATAAAGTCCGTAGTGCCGCGTTGCAGAAAACAAACCCATCGCTAGAGGAAGTACTGCAGATAGCAGCAATATATGAAGCAACGGTTAAAACTTGTAACGAAATTAGAGGTGAAGATATCAGTCAAACAGTTAATGAAGTTAATCACAGTTCAAGTAAGAAAGTTAAACAGAATCGAAGTAATATTAAGTCCCGAAATTCAGTGAAGGGAGGACAATCGTGTCCAGCTTGTGGGAAAGCACATCAAAGAAATCAATGTTATCATTACAAGAACAAAACAAAGTGTCGGTTATGTACAAAGCAAGGTCATATTGCTGCAGTTTGTCAATCAGCAGTGACAGGTATTCAGCAGAATTCTAATTTTAAGGTTCGCAGACAGGAACAAAATAGAGCAAGAGATGTATATTCTATGAGTGATGTTTCATTTGAGTCAATTAATGCGAATGAAGCAACGGAAGTTAAATCAGTTGATTCGCAACTTAGTTCATCTAAAATTTTCGTTGACCTCAATATAAATAACGAAATTTTAACATTTCAAGTAGATACTGGTGCAACATGTTCCTTAATTGGTTTGGCGGCATATAAACAACTGGGTAGACCTAGTTGTGGGCCTACGAATAAAGTTCTGAGAGCGTATGGAGGAGCTGTTATTTTTCTTAAGGGTTCTCTCAGAGTAAATGTCAAGTATGGAAATATTTCTCGAAGCCTTGAGATACTTGTAGTTAACGATGAATATGTTACTAACATACTGGGATTGGATTTGTTTACAGTATTAAATTTCAAACTGCAGTTACCTGTTATTGAATGTTATGCAAATAATCCTTGTGACACTCAACAAAGTTTAACCGCATCTCTACATGAACTCAGATGTCAACATGCTAACATTTTTTCTTCGAAATTGGGGCGTTGTACGTTGTTCAAAGCTGAAATCAGATTGAAGTCAGATGCTAAGCCTAAATTCTTTAAACCATACAACCTGCCGTTTGCGAAAAGAGAAGACGTTCGCATCGAAATTGATCGGTTGGTAAATATTGGAGTTTTGAAAGCTATCAGAAGCAGCGTCTGGGCCGCTCCTATAGTTGTAGTGTCAAAGCCAAATGGAAAATTACGTATTTGTGCAGATTTCAGAATTGGTGTGAACTCGCAAATTGAGATTGACAGGTATCCAATTCCTAGAGTTGAGGAATTTTTTTATAAACTTCAAGGAGGACAATTTTTCACAAAAATTGATCTTAGTGAAGCGTACTTGCAAGTAGAATTGTCTGACGCAACAAAAGAATTTCTAGTCATTAATACGCCATTTGGTTTGTTCCAGTTTCAACGATTGCCATTCGGTATTGCCAGTGCTCCTGGCATATTTCAACGTCTTATGGAAGAAGTAACCGCTGGAATACCGAACTGTGCAGTTTATTTAGATGATATAATCGTAACAGGTCGAAATAATAAAGAACATTTGAATAATATTTTCAAAATTTTTCAACGTTTGGAAGAATACGGCTTGACATGTAAAAGCGAAAAATGTAGTTTTGCGCAAGAGCAGGTAGATTATGTTGGACACGTAATCAATGTGAATGGATTAATGCCCACAGGAAAACGTGTAGAGGCAATCAAATTAATGCCGCGTCCTCGTAATATTCAAGAAGTTGAAGCTTTCATTGGAAAAGTTAATTATTATAACAAATTCATTAAACAGTTTTCCATATTAGCTGCTCCTTTAAATGAACTAAGGAAAAAGAATGCTGTGTTTAAATGGACAGCATATCATGAAGATGCTTTTCAAGCATTGAAGAATGCTATGATCAAAGCTACGGAACTCGTTCATTATGATGATAAGAAGCCTATAGTGTTAGCAGTAGATGCATCTAAGTATGGAATCGGCGCAGTAATTTCACATCGTTATGCTGATGGTTCAGAGAAGCCAATCGCGTATGCTTCAAAAAAATTAAACAGCAGCCAAGAACGCTATTCTCAAATCGAAAAAGAGGCATTAGCAATAATTTATGGACTGACCAAGTTTCATCAATATCTTTATGGAAGACGTTTTGAATTAATAACTGATCATCAAGCGTTGACAACACTGTTTAATCCGAGTAGAAAGTTGCCAGTGATGGCGTTGCATCGTTTACAGCGTTGGGCTATTGTACTTCAAGCATATGAATACATTATACGGTTCAAAAGTTCATCTCAGAATGCTAACGCTGATGCTCTTTCCAGATTGCCGTGTGGGGATGACATACAATTTGATAGAAAGGAAGTTGTGATGTTAGATGATGTCGATACTGTTTATCAAAATGCTGTGGATTATCTTCCAGTAAATGCAACATAAGTAAAGGATATGACTGCTAATGACAACACTCTTCAACGTGTCAGCAGATATGTACAAGATGGTTGGCCTGAACAATTGCCGAAATCTGAAGGTAGTATCAAACCGTACTTTAATCGCAGATTTTGCTTATCATTTCAGAATGGAGTGTTACTTCTTCAGGCTGAATATACTAGAGTGGTGCTACCGAAAGCACTGCAATCTCAAGTATTAAATTTGTTACACGAGGGTCATTGGGGTAAAGGTCGTATGAAACAGATGGCAAGACGATATGTGTGGTTTCCTCTTATTGATAAAGCCATAGAACGTATTCATGATGATTGTTCATCTTGTCAACAAGGTGCAAGTCAACCAAAGCGAGAATTTTCTGCATGGCCAGAACCTAGTAGGCCGTGGGAAAGAGTTCATTTGGATTTCGCGGGTCCATTCTTTAAACGTATGTGGCTCATAGTTGTGGATGCATATTCTAAATTTCCATATATTGTGGAACTATCAACAATAACAGCTGTAACAACAGTTGGAGCTCTACAAAAAATTTTTTTTATCGAAGGTCTTCCGTGCACTATCGTGACAGACAACGGAACACAATTCACGTCCAATGAATTTCAAAAGTTTTGTGAAATGAACACAATTCAGCACCTCACGTCTGCTCCTTTTCATCCGGCTTCGAATGGGTTAGCGGAAAGACATGTGAGAACTTTTAAGGAAGCAGTAACAAAAATTATGAAAGAGGAACAACATATTGACAAAGCGTTGTATAAATATCTTACAACGTATAGAACTACTCCAAACTTAGCAACTAATAAATCGCCAGCAGAGTTGTTACATGGGCGGCAACCAAGAACCATTTTATCGGCGTTGTTCCCGAAAGTTATGGAGACTATGAAAACTCAAAATAGAAGTAAATTCGGAGTTGGAGAGAAAGTGTTAGCTCGTAATTATTCGGGATCGCATAAATGGATCAGAGGCGTCATACAGAAATTGCTGGGAAATAAAATGTATTTTATTCAAACTGAAAATGGTTACATAAAACGACATCAAAATCAAATACGTCGAAATTTATCGTCATCGCATTCAAATCAGCTTAGGGCAGATAATATTGATATTGATTTAGATTTTGGTATTCGGACACCACCGGTTGAGGAAACAACAATTACTACTGGATCCGACCCGGAACATAGTCAAACAGAGAAAGACGACAAAATGGGGACCGATGAAACAATAATCACTACTGGATCTGACTTGAAACAAAATCAAAGAGAGAAAGACGACAAAGCGGAGTCCGACGACAGATATGGGTCCACACACACTGATCAGTTGCCAGTTCAATTAAGACGGTCGGTTAGAAGGAGAAGACAACCTGTTCGTTTTAATCTTGAATAAACAAAATTCAATGTCATGTTAAACATTACTTTAGTGGTTTCAAAAATTAGGTCCAAGAGAATGTTGGAAATGTATAATCATAATTGAATAGTAGGCTATTCTTATTTGATTAACTGTATTTAACATTTTGTAAAAATATAGAAATAGATTAACTTTTGACTTCCGATAAGAATAAAGTTAAATTGTAAAAACACAAATTAACAAAGCTGTACGCGCATTTGGTCATTAACGATGAATTGCTGCTTTGAAACTTAAAGACGGATTTCTTGAGCGTTTGAGCTATAATTAGCAACTAAATCTTTTAATGTTTTAGTTCAGCACATAACACAAAATGCAACTTCTATACAAAATTGTAGAATAGTCGCAAATGAATTTTGTAACATATTTTCACTATAGATTTTAATCCTACTAATTCAAGACGAAAAGCTGCACCAAAAAGCAGGCACTTATTAAATTCTTTTAGTTAATTGACTTCCAAGATTAATTGATATATATGTAGTTTTAGATACGAAAATTATAAAAAATTAAAACGAACATCTATTTACTATTATTATCTTCTGCTGTGTCGTATGTAATCACAATTTTAAGAATGAAATAAATTCAGACTTTGAATTGTCAGTGCTTCAGTTCTCTAAATATTTACCGTTACATGTTCAGCACCAAGTAGCCGTGCACGTATTAAGCCCGAACGCTTAGCGGTCCTCAGCACGAAAGTATGGATAGGTAATGTAGCTACGTAATCTTCCAGTTTCTTGCCGAGATAATCTATAAATAAAATAAATATGATTTTATACTAATTTATTTACAATATATTTATAATAGGGAACCTCTTTCGCTTTTATCATCAACTAAAATAATTTCTTTTAACAGCGAACGTGGCGAACGATTAATTACACTCCACACTGTCCGTAACAATGTTGTCCATGCTTCATTATGGAATACTATCACAATTGACGTAGTTGGCAACTTGGAGGGATATGACTTTTTTCTACAACTGCAATTTTAATATAAAATGAAAAACAATTAATTTTAATAAAAAAAATAAAATAACGACAAATTGACATACTTTTCATGTCGCACATCTGTTAGTGAGCGATTTAATGAGATCATATCACTAGCCAGTAAATTAAATTGATTCTCTTTGAATTTCTCCTTCATAAGATCTTTCATCTCGGCAGGAATTTTGACTGGCTTACCCATTTCACCAGGTTTCCCTTTTGCTTCTCGCACTGTTGGTGCTGCGAACCATTTTTTTAGGGTTATACTTCGATATGTCATTGATATGCCACCGGGCGCAAATCCTTGCCCACCAATGACATTTTCACTATCACTGCCCCCACCAAGTATTCCGCGTACATCAACATCCAAACTTTTCTCTGTATTAATTTCATTATCGTCCACTAAATTTTCGTCGACCAGTTTCTGTGCGTTAGGCAACTGCAAATATGCGAACGGAAAAATTTAGAAACATAATTAACTTTTCACATGTTTAATAGAAACAATAGCAAAACTGAGTGCTGGAAAATTCATTTTCATGCATTCAAAATATACAAAATCATTAGATACGAGCTACTAATGTTCGCTTTACGTTGTTTTTAGTGCACATAGAGTTTGTGCAGCAATGTGTGAAGGGCATGTATTTTATGCGTTCTTTAAACACACAGATTTATTTGAACTGCAAGTCAGAAGCGATGCAGTGCCAAGAAAAACCAACGTGTTGGAAGTGTCAATTTCAATGGCTACCAACACCGACGTAAGCAACATAACACTGGCCCCTACTCAGATATTATATTTGGTATTTCATTGTACGGACAGCTTGACGCATTATTGATAGAAAAGCACATTGCACATTAATCCACTAACATGCAAGTTAAACTAAAAATTGAGAGCACACATGTAATCTACACTACACAGCTTTGCACATATGAATAGAGTAGAGTGGAAAAGCGAATAAACATGCTGAAATTTGTAATTAAAGCGAAGGTATTTTTTTAACACTAAGGAAGTTAGAATAGTTCAAATACTTAAGGGATCCAAGTATAGTATGTAAACTCAATCAATTACTGAAATATTTTGCAAATGCTGTGTATAAGCTTCAACGATTTGAATTAAGAATTATTTAAGGAGTTGCATTGTATTAAAACTACAAATTAAAAAATTAATGGATATGTGTTAAAAGTAAGTGAACACAAATTAAGGAGACTTTACTTACAACTTCTTCAGATTGCCAAACAAGAAGCAATTCAATCATTTTAAATCGCATATAATTTATTCGAATATAAACCGAATAAGTTTAATTTACTTAGAAGCTTTATAAAGAGAAATTGGTGCCTACTAAAATATAAAAAAAATATGGATGTATATATATGTGATCATGGGGAACATATGGTTGACTTGTAAATCTCACTATGCTACTTATATTAGTCCAATACACAAAACTGCACTAGAGCTACTCTTATGGCAGATATGGCTATCCTATCTAACTACACCTCCACTTCCACATCTAAGTCCTCTCCTATTCCTTTTGTGCAATTATTCTCATTCCCATACGTATTTGCATTCCAAGTTCCAAACAAAAGAACACCAACTAGTTAGTTAGTTCAATACAATTCTAACTTGGTGTGATATTCGTGTTTGAAATTTCGATAGTTCATATTTATAAGAAAGCACCTATAGTTAAAATACTTAAACACTTGCAGCATATATTCTTATGCGGTTTAAAAAGTGTTTTCAAATATTATAAAAAAGAAATTGAAAAAAAATTATATGTACCTCTAGCAAATATTTTCTTAATTATTGTGAACAAATATCTATAAATAACATCTACATATACTCGTATAAACATTAAACTCTTTCTAAATGAATATTATTAAAATTGTTAATATGTTTATTTAAGAAAGATGACTATTTTAGTCAACGATCAAATATCATGTCGTTTTATTATTTTAAGTCCTTAGGAGATACTTAAACTCTTTGGATTCTTTGAATAATTTTCAAGTCGGTTAAAATGCGATTTTTCAATTTAATATTAAAAAATATATGCAAATTATTTTATCATTATTATCTAAAAGTAGCACAGATGTGTGAAATAAAAAGCTTCAGGCATTATAAGGATTATATATAGGTCTTGTGTTACTTTGCACTTGTTTAAACGGTGCTTTATTAATAACACATTTCATGAACTTTGCTTGGTTACGAGATTAGTACTTTGACGTAGTAGCGTAATCACATTTTTATAGATACTGACAAGAGCAAAGGTAAATATTTTGAAAAGGATGTACAGTGATAGGTAAGTGTTATATTTCTTCTACAGTCATAAATAATACGTTTTTTCTATGAATAAAAAAGGCGGCACATAACAGATAAATTACCCACAAGAGTAAAAGCTATAAATTATTAAAGTAACGCTGAGTATGATTAAGCGTAGTGTTAATATAGAAAAAAGCTATTGGAAAATATTTACGTATTGCTCTTCGAAGGGGTTTAAAACTGTAAAGAACAATAACCTCTATATGGCACACGAAAAACTTACGTTTGAAGATTTACTTTCTTTAATAAAATGTTAAGTTTAATAAAAATAATAAGTAGGCGTATAAAGATTAATTTATAGAATATGTACATTTAAATGACTATGAGTATATCTCTATTTAATAATTTTGCCATCCAGAATAAGACCATTAAGAAAATGTTTACAAAAAAGTTTATAATTATTTAGAGGTACAAACATTGATTATAGATTTATAAAAAAAAAAGTGGCCTTGATATATATATCGATGGTATATCGCCATCAATATATAATTCCAGACTTCTTTATGTACATGTACTATATTGTTATTATATTAGACTAATAGACTAATCCTATATCCTAAGATTCTGGTTAGGATAAGTTTCGGTTCGCTTACCACAAAAATATCAACATTTTTATACTTTAGCAAGTATAAACCAGTATACCTACATCAAGAATCGCTCGTTTACAGAGTAACATTATAGAATTATCAAATTATCAGTTCCTTTAAGTATCTTTAAGATTCTGATTCTGATTATTTATTATATTTATACCCACAACACTAAACAAGAGCCTCTGCGCATACCCCCATTCGTAGTTGCAGTTGAATATAGAAAAGTTACGACCTATAACTTTTCAATTCTTTAGGATAATAATAGTATTTCTCGTATGTTGATAAAGGACAAGTGAATCTATTCCTAATATGTGAATGGATAGCTTAATAATTTATTATAACAATTAGAATTGTATAATAATGACAGATTGGTGTTCCGTTCGACCTTTAAACTTATTATTAAATAATATATTTGTGATAGTAATTATTTAATTTTAAACTTTCGGATTGATATATTCGCGGATATTCTAATTTTATTTGTAATAATTTTTGGGTAGTATGTTAAGCACATGGCTATATCCTGATCTCAATTGAGATAGGACAGTTCTTGTCGCACGAGGAAGACTACGTTCATCCTGAGAAATGATAGGCGGAGGCCTATTGAGGACCTTGTTGGTAGTCAACCTAGGTTTCGAAGTAGACATTGCATCGATGTGTAGTGCTATAAGTCCACGTTTGTATTTGACCTCACTGATGTAAGCTCCATTGCAATATTGGTCGATATGATTATTGAAGTTGGTAAGTGAAAAGGATCGGTGAAAGAACGCTGCCTTGGGGAACACATTGTTTTATTTTTCTGGTTTTCGACATCTTATTCCTAAAATCAACAAAAGATGATCTGCCTATAAGGTAATTGCAGAGCCATCGTTTAATGATGTCAAGGATGGATGTTTCAGACAGATCATTAAGCAAGGTGGAATGTGAGACTGTGTCAAATGCTTTCGCAGGATCAAGACCTAGTAGCACCGTGCGTGCGCAAGGGCGACTTTGATTAAGTCCAATCAACAAAAGACGATCTGCCTATAAGGTAATTGCAGAGCCATCGTTTAATGATGTCAAGGATGGATGTTTCAGCCAGATCATTAAGCAAGATGGAATGTGAGACTGTGTCAAATGCTTTCGCAGGATCAAGACCTAGTAGCACCGTGCGTGCGCAAGGGCGACTTTGATTAAGTCCATTGGCGATTTGAGAAGTGATCTCACAAAGAGCAGAGGTGGTACTATGACGTTTTCTAAATCCATGCAGATGGGGAGCTAGATGAATATAAGGAGAAATTTGTTTTAGGACTAATGAGTCCAGAACTTTGGCTACTAGAGATAAAAGAGAGATTGGTCTATATGATTAACCTAGGCCAGCCGGTTTGCCCGGTTTCAGCAATGGGATAATTCTACCAGTCTTTCATATATTTGGGATGATGTGAGAACTAATGGAGGTGTTCAAAATATAGGTCAGAACTGAGAAGCCAATGGGACCGAGGTGCTTGAGCATGAAATAAAATCAATTGAAATTGAAATGCCATCAGGCCCAAGCGCTTTCGAGGCTTTGGCTTTTCTAATCACGTTATTTACATCATCTGGGGAAAACAGCATGGTGTCGCCGGAATGTGGTTTCCGAAAAGCGCGAATCTGTCTGCGAATAGCATGGGTAACAGAGGCATTGGGCACGAAAAACTGACAAAATTGTTGGGCGCAATGTTTGAGATCTGGGAAGGTGATCCCATTAAAAGTTATCGCTTTATTGTTAGGGCGTGAAAGATTAGATAATGCTTTAATGGTAGTCCACAATTTACCATTTTGAGAGTCGCACTTATCTAAATGTTCCTTCCATTTATTAAGGCGATGTTCGTCTACCAATTTTCGAATGTTACTGTTCAGGATAGCTATGCGTTTTTCGGCAAGGGGCACAGCGTCACTAGGAAAATTCGGCTTTATTATTTTAATCCTACTCGCAGGAATAGCTATAGCAGTGGATTTGATGATAATGCGGCGAAATTGTGTCTCTGCCTTGTTTAAATCAGAGGACAGAGAAATATTACCGAAGTCGCGTTCTGAGACGTCTTTGAATAGAGCCCAATTCGCTTTTTTGAAATTTCTAAAAGTTTTCTTGTCAGCTTCACAATAAACCTCGAACGATGGCATTGAGATAATAGTGGGAGTGTGGTCTAAGCTTAAAGCTATTTCCACACTTTAGTTCGAGGCAGCGAGCAGCCTAGGGCTGGCGAGGCTGACATCAGGAGAGCTAGAGCAAGTTGGCGTTACCCTAGTTGGTGAATCCTCATTCAGTACACCAAAGGAAGAATCATCAATTTGGGAGGCCAATTGTAAACCCCTCTGATCGGCTAGTAGGTTAGAAAACCACAGAGCATGGTGCGCATTCAAATCACACAACACAAAACGTGAGTCCCCTTCGAGAAGATGAGAAATATTAGGGGAGTGCTGCAGTGGGCAGCTAGAGTTGGGAGGCAGGTAGATGCTAATGACTTCAATGAATTTAGAAGACCTACCAATCAAAATTTTCAACCCTATTACCTCTAAATATTCGTCATTCGACGAGGATAACGTTAGCTCACTGTGTGATAACGAATCACTCAACAGAAAGGCAACTCTACCTCCGGCTCCCCTAGGGCGGTCCTTACGTATAAGGGTGAAACCTGATGGGGACGTGAGAGTGGAGTTGGGGAGAAGCTTTGTCTCTTGCAGTGCAGCAACTGCGATGTTATTTGAAGTCATGAATGCTGCAATTTCAGAAATCTTCCTTCTAAGGCCATTGCAGTTAAACTGTAGCATTTTAAGAGGTGAAGAACTGTTAATAGTTGTGACAACACTTGTGCGTTAAGAGAGTGAGCGGTTTTGAGGTGGAATTATAGGTGGAAGTTGGCAACAGGCGCCAACGAAATTTGAATTCCAACCATGATGAAAGCGTAATCCAGAGCAAGGTCTATTGGAAACGGATTGTCAATGATTGACGAAGATCTAGATGGTCTAACTGGAGGAGTAGTTGGACAACAAGCTCCTCTAAAGGCAGAGTTCCAATCGGTATGGCTATGCAAACCTGAACAGTTACGAAGGTGGCACCAGTTATTGCAACTATTGCACCTAACAGATGTTTGGTTTCTGCGAATAATATTGTTGCAGACAGAGCAGTGCCATTTTGAAATAGCTGGTATGACAGGACCAGGATTAGATTCAATATCGGCCATTAGAAGTAACATAAGAAGCAAGATGGCCGGAACTTGCTTCTTAGTGGAAAAAACACATATAGACGACATATGTCAACAAACACATACCTGCTTGTGAAGTTCCTTTGGGGGTGGTTGAACGGCTCTTGGACGTAGACCCGGCCGTTCTTGGAACCTTCTCTTTCACATGAAAGTGACAGATTTGGAAAAATTACGGGCACTCTATGCTCCACTTAGGTAGACAATATACTATTTCTTGTTCTAATTCATTTAGTTGAAGTTTTATTAGTATTAATATTTTAATGAATAATTTAAAAAAAAAAAAAACTTCAGACTCAAATTTAAAATTTGTTGTTTCTAGAACCTAAATTCTTCTGATTTATTATTAGTAGCAAAACAAACTAAAAAATTATAAATACGACGCTATATCTGGACACTATAAACTACAAATATACATGAATAAATATATAAGAAAGCTTACTTCTTAAGCAATAGTTCTGTTTAGCGAATGCAATGACTAAATCATTTTCTTGGGTAATAACGTGATACACACAACATGCTACAGAACTTACAAGTCTTTCTACTGAATTACATTCATATTAATTGGAAAGTGAAAATCTTCATCTATCTGATATATGTTACATATACTCGTTTAATGAAATAACTAATAGTCAAAGCGCTAGGTAACAGACTCAAAAACAAACAAAAACCAGAAAAAAAATTAAAAAATGATAATACGCGAATAAATGTGCCGTTATATTTAAAAATTTCTGTATGAACATTTTTAATCACTTACCTCAACATCGTACTCCCCTCTGCGTTTACAACGCCACCCATCTTTGCCGATGCAGTCTGAATAGTGTGCTATTAGAACGAAATCCACTACCACCCAAACCAGGGAGGTTAGCAGCACGATACGGCATGTGTTGGAACGCAGACGTCCCCGTAATTTACGTGTCAGGCTCAATGTTGACATACTGTTTGTTGGTTGGTTGGTTTGGTTGGTTGGTTGATTGTTTGCTTGATGGCTTGATGGCTTGTTGACTTATTGGCTGTTCCTTTTATTCAATTTAAAACTTTAACAACTTATGTGCTTTTCTATGTATATGAAATATAAATATCTATATAAATGTGTGTAGGTGCATTTATGTATATGTATGTAGGATATGCTTAGCGTCGTATTATGAGATACTTTTTATTAGTTTACAGTTTGTTATTCGTGTTCCTTTTTTCGTTTCGTAAACCTTTACCCACAACAAGTAAAATACAATTTTAGCAATTTAAATTGTTTGTTGTTGTGCTATTGAGTTGTCCGTTGTTGCTGATTTAGTTGACTTTATTGCTGTTGTTATTGTATTTTTTGTATTTGTTATTGTTGTATAAAGGCAGGGCAGAACGTAGCGTGAAGTTTGATTTTTGCGGTTAGGCGCTGTATGCACAAAAATTTATTGAATTTACCAACAAACTTAAAGGAATGAATTTTATTTAAAATCAACACACACTGGCGATGAGCAAAGTGGCAACAAGCGAATAAACCAAAAAAAATTCAAAAACAATTTTTAAAATTGTTGTGCACAATTGAATAAAATTAAAAATTAAATTAATTTTTTTTTTTTGAGAAAAAAAAACAAAAAACAAAAAAAAAAACGAGAACGATTACGATTACGAGTAAAGCTGTATGGAATAAATCACGAGATGATGTGAACAGCTGAGTTTTGTTGTTGCACTTCTAATATTATGAACAACATATTATATTGTTGTTATAGACTTCAATTGTTGTTGTTATTATTGTTGTTGTTGTAGTTATAGACTAGTTTAAGTCCAATAATCCAGTTATCCAGGGGGTGTTGAATTTAGCTCTTTTAAAATTATGTTATTTTGTATTGATGGTATTTTTTCTTTCGATATAATTTCAATTTTTGTAGTTTTTTTTTAACAGTGCCTTTAATAGTGCCTTTAAATGGAGCTCATTTTTCGTTTTAAAAGTCAATGCTAAAATATCTGTTGGATGCGAATAACATAGATTGTATCTTTTTTTTTTTCTAATAAATGTGCTTTACAAGTACTTCTCTTATATTTATGTGAATTTTTTCTTGTATTTTTGGCAAACAGTTTTTGATTCTTTTTATATGTGCTCAGCCTTTTCGTTTAAAGAAAAAGATAGTGTGGTTTTGTGTCTTCTTGTTGATTTTTCTTCCTGTATTATTATAGTAGTTGTGGGAATTGAAGATGGTATCCGTACTGTTGTCGTAGAGCTGTTGACATTTATCTCTTGTCAATATTATACAAATTTAGTCGCTTGATTTCTTCTCACATCTTCAAATGCATAAAAAAACTAAAGTAAAATAAAAACCAATTCAAATCCAATCCAAATTTAATAGAAGAAAAAGTTTAAGTTGGTCCTTTCGTCAATGGGTAAAATGCCAAAAAAAAATACTTTTAAAAGTAAGTGGTGTTGATGGTGGATTTGTAGATTCAGATTCCTTCAGTTGTTGTTTACTATTATTTTACTAACTAACGTTCGTTGGTTATGTTTGCTGGTGGCTGCCTGTAAGTCTTGACTTTGAAAAAGTATCTTAAAATTTTTTTCTGCTTTACTTATTTCGGTACTTCGATATTCATTCAAACCGAAATTGCTCCGGATTCGCTTAGTTCAGTTGTAGGCAAAACGTTTCAAGACCTTGAAAAGCATTCAACTGCAAAGAAATAAGAGGAAAATAGTTTTAAAATACTGCATTAAATCAGCAAATTTTAATGCTAATAAAACATTAACTGAAAGACAATACAAAGACAAATGAATATGAAAGTTATTTACTCGTAATTTGTTTACTAAACGATTTTAGATAAACGTCAACAAACAATTTTTTAACGTTTTCTGTTTAATAAGTCATCAGCTTTCATATTTTGAAACTTTTATTTTATGGATTTTTCTACGATTTTATTTTAAAATTATTTATGAGTTTTATTTTTGAATTCTTTTCTGTTATAAAGATTTAATCTTTTTTTAGTCGTATTTCTGATGTAAATTCAAGGTTTAACTTGAAAAAGTTGTGACCCATGATGAATAAACTGCGAACCTATGACGCATATCTAGATCTTAAAGCAGAAATGTGTAAGGTTCGTAAAGAATTATTATTATGAAACTAAGAATTATAGTTGAATGTACTATAACTTGAACAGGAAGTAAGTGAAATCAAAGCTTATCGCTGGTAAAATGTTATACGCACTATTATTTCTTTTAATTGAAATGAAAAGTGAGAGATGGTTATTGAATATGAAGAATATTTCAAACTCAGAAGAAAATCAAAAAATCGGGTGTCAGATTTGAAGCGAAACTTTATGTAGATATTAAATTGGCCGATCAAATTACGTGAACATTACAGATATATGAAAAAAAATTAAAAAATAGTATGAGTATTTCCATTGATCTCCGTTAAAGTGTGGAATGTATGTAGGCTCTTATAAAAAATAAGCTCCGTTGTAAGCGTATTTTTTTATATGTAAATTTTTTTTTACTGTTAACTATAAGAAGTGGTTGAGAATTTTTGTACCATACATTCTATATAAAGAGTATTCGGATTTAATATTTTTAAAAACCAATCATAATATTTCTAAAAGTATCTGCAATGGCTTCTTTAAAACTGTAGTTTTGAGTTTTCTATGATGGCACCAAGATTCTGATCGACTACTGCTGTACTTACTGACTTACTTACTTCTGTTTTCAATGCTAAAATTATTTTTATATCATTTGAGAAAATAAACCATTTATGATTGTAATGTTTATTATTATTTAATTAACAAAAGTAAGTTTAAATTAAAATTAACGACTCTCTAATTGATTTCAAATCTAAAAATTTTTAAATTTCTATAACACTTAATAATATTTTCTTATACTAACATTAATTACTTTTTCAATAACAATTTTTTTTATAATAAATAATGAGATACTTAAACAATCTGCAAACTTTTAATTTAGCTTGTTGACAATGGTATTACAATCACATACAGTTTTCAGGTTTATAAGTAGCCATTATTATAAATTATATGAAATACACATATAATAATTAGTGCAAATAAAATTAATTAAAAAATATTCAATACGTATTATATATAAAATTGCAATGAAAGACAAGTTCAGTTTTAAAAATGTCAAGTCCAGTTTCATGAACTTGTAATACCCGTACTGCTTTCAAACTGCTCAAATTACTAAGCCAACTTTTTTGTGCTAATATGCTTATACTATGAATGGAAATATACAAGTTACACAACACCAAATTACTTGTAATGTATGGAGCATGCGAATCGAGACTCCATGGAGTTGCAGTCTTTTGCTTCAGCAACCTATGACAAATGCGAATCTTACATAGACAGCAAGTAATGAATTTCAGATTGTCTATGAGCTGAGATGCAAATGGAATTACTTTTATTTCAATAACGGAATTTTTATTAAAATTTATGGTTAATTCAAGCTTAAATCAAGCCAAACTTTTAAAGTTTTTACAACAAAAATAACAGCATTGCAAATATTTTTGAAACCTGTTAAACGAGGTGCGTTCAATGGCCGCAATTAGTATCTCGAAGATGTGGCATTAATGCTACAGGGAGCTTAGTTGAGCTGAGCGGAAATGAGCTAAACTGAATTGAGCTCTGCTGAGATGAACTGTGGCGAGATGAGTTGTTTAAATTGTGGCAATCGAAAGAGTGCAGCCGCTAAGCTAGACTGAGAGGTGCTGAAATAAAGCTCACATTCAAAATGTTGACTAATTATATTGTGCTTATAAATAATTATTATTGCATATTAAAATATTAACAGAAAAAGCTATACATATATATAATGACAAGAGCTAAAAATATTTGAAAAAAATATTGAAAATCTAGAAAAGGGCAGGTTATATATTTTGCACAAAATTTCAAAATATTTTTGAAATGGAATAAGTTTTAGTGATGAATGGTCTTATACTGTGTTTCGGCTGTTAATTAATTAAAAGGAATTTTCTATAAAAATACCAGTCTGTCTAATTGTTGAAAGTTTAGATATATGGTGCAAAAAACCTAATTAATAGTGATGTTCTCCAAAAACAGTTCTGTGCATATAATTCCTTTCTGCATTAGCTGTTTATCTTTATATTAAGCGAACTGATCTTATTAACCATATTAACCAACATTTAAAAGTTTTCTATATTTTTTTTAAAATAACATCACAATAAAAAAATGGAAACAACACCTGTGTAAATGTGACTATATCTAAATATATACTTCAAGGCAAAAGCACTCAAATATAATTATAAATGTTTATTTTTTTATCTATATAAATACGGATATCTCTTGTCAATATTTTACGCTGTTTTGTTGGTTGTCATTGTTACCAAAAATTATACAAAATATACCAGAAATGTCAGCAAATTTTAATTAATCATATTTTGTTTCTATGGCATTGTTAAGTAGAATGTAAATATTGCCTATAAAAAGAATACTTTTTATTTTTGTTATTAAAAGCTATACTTCTATACTATACTCCGAAGTAGATTACATCACATATGTACATTTTAATAAAAAAAATTTTATACTTTCACTTTGAGTTGATCGCGCCCATAGGCGGCTATTGTTTTTTCATTTAAAAGAAATGATAAATTTTTACTGACAGTTGACAGAAGGTCACATCTTGACTACGAAATCAAATCGTGGAAATATTTTATGGTTGAATTCGTATATTAATAATGAAAAATATATAATACAAATACAATTAACTGCATATTAGTTTTAATTTTTTGCAATTAATTTAGTGTCCAATGTAATTTTAATTTATCTACTATCTGCTACTTTTTAATATTGTATATGCATCAGTTATAACCTATAACGTATGTATGAAGTCAGTATCTATACTGTGGCTTAGTGGCGTATTTAATACAAAAATATTATTTGTACATTCCCAAATGTTATATGGAAAAATCAACAAGATCTTCAAGAAACCCAACTCGCATACTTTATGACATTCATTTTACAAAAACCGAATATATAAAAACCATGCATAACATTGAGGATAAAAGTTATTAGAATGATAACTATATACTTAAATATGAGTTTAGATAACTTTTTGTTGCTGCTTTTTTTCTCTGGTGCTTATGAGTAGAAAAATAATAAAAAAAAATTACAAAATCATCCTTCCGTGTACACAAAGAAACTAAAGCTTTAAAAAATTTGGGTAGAATTATCACTTACACTACATCATGATTTCGCCTTTAAATACTATATTTATACTATATGTATATTTATTGTATTATCATATTGCTATTTGTTTGCGTTCCATAAACCATATATTATTAAACTGCTATATCAATGAGCGCATTTCATTCGTGCTATGCTTGGACCGCTTCAAATCACCACTTCGACTGCGCAATGCAAGGAATGTGCCCAAAAGTCATCATTTGAAACACATTTAATGTGAGCATAATAAAGACGAAACACTTATTTTCAATGAGATCTACAACATGATAAAAAGTGTTTTTACTAATTAAATTATGAAACCATAAAGAATTTCGGATTACCAAAGAGACCTAAGCGCATGCGAAACGCATTAATTCTTTTTAATTGGTAATAAATTAATATAAGGAGTATTCAGGCAACTGATTAGTTGCTTAGTTGATTCAAAAACTTCATATAAAAAAAAATTAGCATTTTGGTGCTAATCAGTTGCTTGAACAACCCAAAATGAATAATCTGATTAGTTTGTTGCGTGCAAATGCCTTGGCAGCACTCGTATCAACAGCAACAGCGAAACGTATGTTAACTTGGGACTGGCAGCACTATTAATCAAATTTGTACTAATCTGAGAATCACCGAAATAGTTGATTCCCTGCTTAGTTTCATTTTTGTGTGCAAATTTTTGTTGTAATCAACTACTAAGCAACTAATCAGTTGCCTGAATACCCCTAATATATTTCGACGCTTTTTAAACTCTTGTACGCAGACTTTTTCTGCCATCGATAGCGCTGAATTTTTTCATTTTTAACTATAATAATTTTTCTACTAATCTATTAGAAATAAGTTTTAGCTTAAAATGAAGATAACGAATTAAAGTACAAATAAAAAATAAAATTGATTTAAAAAATCTATTCATTTAATAATTTTTTTATTGTTGAAACAAAATTTACTTTCTGTACGCAGAGTTTTTCTGCTAAGTGCATATAATAATAAATAATAATATATTTATAAAATCATTTGTAGACACTCATACACCTATTGCCTACTATACACACATGAATATGTATGTATATCATTATAGTAATTTCACTGTAAGTATAGTGTTGTAGTATCATTTGCACGTTTTAAAACTACTTTATCAGCATAAATCATAGACACATCTTATGTCTCACAATATTAATCTGCTTATGTGAAACTGCAATAATTCAAACTTAAATTGACTTAACAATAGATTTAAAATTTATCAAATTATTCTAATTGGAAGCACTGTAATTAGTTTGTTATGATATTACGGATATTGAACTTCACAATTGTTTACACTACACATTTTATCTTATTTGTTTATAGTTTTAATTGTATTTTTTTTGATTGAATTCTATATGCACTATTTATGCATTACTGTGCTGTTCGATGGCACTCGTGTGGATGTGGATGTGCATGCATGACAGTGACTTATTTAAACGATTTCACAGACTGCCGCAGTTGTAGTCAAATT